GAAGGAAAGCGGAAAATGTTTGTATGGATGAATCATACAAAACTAATAGAATTTCGACTGTCATAATTCACATTTAAAACAGGAACGAAAAACAAATGCAGACAATCAGTCAGTCGACAGCATCAGCCGCCTTGACAATAAATAATTGAAAGAAGAGATGCAAAACGGTGGAGTGGAACCAATGCCTTTGTGGCCACGAATAGCCAGTGAGGTAACGCGAGACTAGGCAGCTCTTCGGAAGACCTGATAGTTTTCAATTATCTTGTCAACATACACTGATTCCAGTCAAACAATCCCTGCAAGGACAGGCAGCCAACAATGACACAGCAATTACTGTTATCAAGCAGTTCAAACATAAATCAGCCCCTAGAATTGAAGCTCAGTGGTAATCACTGCCCAATTCATACAACAATGAATTCACAGCCAAGCAGATTGCTTCACTTTCTTTGAAACCACAACCCATGAAATTGCTGTTTCATCTGACATACTGAGAAAATAACATATCATAATTGATAATTCCTCACTTGGGTTAAATCTGATGCTGGCCCATCTTGATTATTATATGACTCTATTGTCCCAGCACTTACAGATGTGGTTATTTCATACTTGATAAGATACATTGGTGGCACTAGTGCCAGCAGACTCTGAAGCCAATAGATCAACATGATCACAGATGATTAATTTGGTCACCACGATGCACATGTTGAAGAGCCTTTCATTCTCTTTATTGGTAATTTTTCATAATAGTGACACATGAGGAAGCAACATGGGCACTGACAATTAATTATTGGAAGAGGTTCTTCTGCACCTGAGCAACCCATATATTATTGATATTGCCCAGTTATGTAATATTCATCAAGGAACAGTAGGTACAAAACCTTACCTCATTTAAAATAACATCTGAGGTAACAAAAACCATGCCACAAATACAGTCTGTCACTTCAGCCAACAGTCTACAAAGATTCCTATGAAGAGTCTATTCAGGCCAGTAAGATTTGCTAATAAAAGTTTGTACACACTGATCCACTGCAAGTGACATCAGGAGACAAGGTTGGGTAGAAGACTTCTGGCACAGGTTGCAGACATTATACCCCAATGACAGCATGCATAATTTCATTAAACTGTCAGAAGCAGAAACACAATGACCAGACTGTTAAATGACAAACACTGATGTTGTCCTAAAATTACAAAGAAAGATGTTCAATTTCAAAATGGTTTCACAATGATTGACACTTTCATGACGATTTGACATGAAACAGATGGGTTGTGAAAACTGGACAAAGGGAAGCAACTCCTGTATGACAACCAATGTGATCATTTTATAGTGGTGCAACGTGAACACAAATGGAGCGAATCTAAATTCATTAACAAAAAGAAAAGCTTGGCAAATTAATTGCCAGTACCAGGCAGAAATTACATGATAAAACTACAAAACAACATTCACACAATATAAAAAATAGTATGGTTTAATCTTAGGTCTGCATGGAGCTGTCATTATTATACAAAGGCCTTAAAGCTTTTCACTACATAGTTTCAGATTAAATTCGATAAAGAGTGCACACACAAAATGCCGAGATGACAAAATTTGATGCTGTGTACATAACTATGCGTCTAACTAAAAGTTGTAAATTCCAATAAAAGGTTATGAAAGTTTATCATCTGATAATATAATTCAGCTACAACAACTTGAAAAATTCAATTCAAGATTAAGAAAGTTATTTAAATTCAGGAAACACTGAAACAAAGAATTAATTACTTATTTCAATTTTTAAGTCCTTGAAAAATTGAAGTAAAGATTTTAAGAAAAACCTAAAACTGATTGTCCCATTTCTCCATGCTGTGGTGGCCACCCCACCCAACATGTGGTTGTACTAGGGACAGAAGAGCCCGCTGTTGGCACAAGGGCTGGAGCTCATGGCGTAAATGCCAGTGGGTGATAAAACCAAAGGATGGAGTCACTTAGTCAGTTGATATTTAGAAATCAGCAGGACAAGGGTGGCGTTATCACCTGGAGGTGTTACTGCGTGTTTCAGCACATATATACCTCATATACCACCTCTGTCCAGATGTACACTAGGTGGATACGGAAACACTAACAGACCCATGAAGATTGGGGTGAGAATTCATCATAAGCAACCCATGATTACCGTAAGAGGTGAATGAAGATGCAGGTTAAAATTGATCATAAGCATCCCATGAATATTGTGTTGTTGTTTTAACAATATGTGGTGGTATAGGGATGTGGTGGTATTGGGATGTGAAAGTTTTGGGATATAACCTTCTGAGTGATCAGGTGGTCAGGCCCCTTTGACATGGCTTTGCATGTTATTGTATAACTGCATTGATCAATATTCATGATGTCAATCGCTGGACTATCTACAGACTGCCAACACATAGCTGCTTACTGCTGACAGTGCAGTTAAATAATAAACAAATAAATAACAATATCTACAAGGACAAACAACACAGATGAAAATGAATAAGCCTAAAAATATATGTAAAGACTCCACATAAGGAACCCTCAAAGTATTTTGTTCTTTCCCTGGCGATTCCATAATATGAGACAATTTGATACGGGCTAGGAAACTTGTGCCAAGTTGCATTCCTGAAAAATACTTTGCAACACTGGTGGCGATCAAAACTACCAAAGTCTGGGCCTTTTGAAAAAGGCCGTCTACTAAGTGTATCCTCATTAATAGATGGCCTAAGCCGTAAAAGTGTTCATTTTAGGTTCATTATTAGAAGAATGAGTGAGTTTAGTTTAACGCCGCACTCAGCAATATTTCAGCTATATGGTGGCGATTATTAGAAGAACTATAAGATCGTAGTTATGAACTTATACCAAGACATTACTACTAGCTGCATTACTAGCTATACAGTTTTGTCCGTAAGCAGCTAAAAACAGTTTCACAGCTATTTCTCTTTTTCAAGAGCTTTTAGAATCTGAGGATCGTCATCACAGTTGTACTTCCATACAACTGTCATGATAATGGAGTACAAGGCTTGGTAGTTGTTAATGTAGACAACTGAATAAATAGTCTTCTTTTTAAGTAGATTCTAAATTAACTGGCTTGTGACACATAATTTCATACTTTTTCACAATGAAATTAAACTGCAAATTTAGTTATGAATCATTACATCGCAGCAATCCTGACAATAACATCGCTCCATTTGACCAAAAAACGTTTGTGGTATTGTATTCCTAAGTGCTTGCATTAAGGTCTAGAAGTGTTTGTGTCTAAGTCCTGCATGGCAACAAAACAGTTTGAGGTATTGTATCCAAAGTTTTGGTGTGGGAGTGTGTCTGTTTAAAGGCCTGCATTGAACAACCAAACAGTTGGTGATTTTGCATATATTGTATATACTGTCAAATGTGTGGAAGTGTGTGTGTTTGTGTTTGAGGCACTGCCTTTAGCAACAAAACCGTTTGTGATATTGCATCTCAAGTGCTGGAGTATGTATATAAAATCCTGAATGTGTCAACAAAACATTCTGTGATACTGTAGACACTGTGTAAACGTGTGGAAGTGTGTGCGTGTTTAAAAGTCCAGCCTTTGACAACAAAACAGTTTGTAGCACTGTATCCAAAGAGCTGGAGTAAATGCGAGTGGGAGTTGGTTCCTGGGATCCATCAACCTGAGGTAGAACCACAGCAAGTATCTGCAGGTGACAGCCCAGATAGCCAGGATGATGCACTGTGTCTCTCACTGCCAGACACTCTGCTGTCAGACACACACCAGCCCAGCACAACACCACTGACGCATGGGTGGTCAACACATACACCAACCAATCACAACACGGACAGATCAGAACCACACTGCAGTGGCTGTTTGTAGACATGCATCGAGCATACACCCTCTACATACACCGCTCTACCGGCAAACATCTGGCTGTTCGGGAGATACATCACTCCTATGTATCTTCTCAACACCATAATGACTACGTGTTTACTGCGCTGAAGTGAGTTTGGTTTTACGCTGCTTTTAGCAATATTCCAGCAATATCACGGCAGGGACACCTGAAATTGGCTCCACATATTGTACACGTGGGGAATCAAACCCAGGTCTTTGGCATGAGAAGCGAACACATTAACCACTGGGCTACCCCACTGCCCCTACTGGGCTGAAAGAATGCTAATTAAAATGAAAATGTCACTGATTTTCCCCATAAAAAAATATGTTTTTTCACATTTATATCTACAATTTAGGTAGTTAATATGTGAAAGTGTGAAATATCTGTTAAACTAAGTTCGGCCTAACTACAGTCACAGTGGGAGGGAGATAGGAAACGTAAAAGAAGGATTTACTGAGGAGAGATTAGTGCAGAAATGAGCAATGCGGTTTTTTTCTAAGTCCAATGCGACTTATTTAGAACAGATCATGGCTTTATGCAAATTAGTGTGTGATGATATTGTATTACAAAGGACACTTTTTAAATGATAATTTTGAAATTAGACTTAACTTCATTATAAACAATAGCAGACGTAAAAAATAATAACTTTAATACTGAAACTATTAAGAATGTAGCTACCATGGCATCTCATTATCACTATAAAAAGAAACAGGAAGGAGGGGTCGTCTCAAAAGCAAAACCAGGACGGGTGTCGCAGACGGTGGTTGGGATCGGGCTGGGGTACTGAGATATCAGCTAAGATTATACAATCAATAGAGACATATTCAATACACATGAAAAAACATAAAATGTCTTTGAGATGACCCCTTGTGTCTGTGGGCAGCACATGCATTTCATGCCATGTGAGTCGGCGGTCCGTCGTCATACCTGGCTGAGCAACCTAATTGCCATCTATAGTTTCTAAGTTTTGCCCGATTTTACGAGTAAACATGCTTTTCTGGATATCCTATTATGCATCCCACTGAACGCCCAGTTAGGCCGATGTGGGTTATTTCGACATATCCTATTTGTAATTGTGTAAATTTTAGGGATACAGAGTAACAGCCTATAAACAGTTGTTTTCTATTTCCGACAGTACTTTAACATACCTTTTGGACATGAACTTGGTCATAGCCACAAGCAGGCCCAGGCTGTGCTGCAGGAAGTCGGCAGCATTCTTGTCTCCATCAATAGGGCCACGCACGTTGCTGAAGTAGTGCTGAAGCTTGTCGATCACTCCAACACTGATGATGTAGCTGAAATATAAACATTTCACAATGTGTCAAATTCAAATAATAGGCTTATAATTCACTTAGGACTTTTCTATCCATCTACAGCAACAGGTTAAGGGAAATTTACAATTTGTCAGCTCTATTCCTGATATTAGGTCTCATCACCTTCCATAATAATCACAGTGAATTTGTATCACTTTGCAAATAAATATTAATTGACAAATAACTTCAAAAAGAGTTGAACCATATTGATCCAGAAGCCGCCATGACAACGCCCATATATATTTTCGAATCAACAAATCATACATACTCATCAATGTTGATTTACTGTATTAAGCATCTCTTGACCAATTGCTGGACCAATCAGTAAGTAATCTGTGCACATGTACATGATAGTCCGGCTTTTCTCGTGCATATCATAAACAGATTGTTTAACAGAAAACAGATTTGGAAAAGCACATAATTGTGGATCATAAGTATTTCTTAAAACTACAGTTTCACCAACATATGAAGTAATTTTGGGGCTACTGTAGCTGGGAATGTTTAATTATTTTCCTGAATAACAGAATTCCACTTTGCACAGTTACAAAATAAGTTCAAAAGAATATATCACTGTTTCTTTTTCTAGGCTAATTATAACAAAGCAATCTGGGCCTAACTAATGGATATGTAAAAATATTCTTTGTATATTTTCCTTGCATCAGAAAAAATATATACTTAAAAAACTAAATAAACTTTTCTAATTATTTGTATATCATAATGATTTTAAATCGTAAAAAATACTGGACGAAGAACTCTGAGTAGAAGACGTTGTGAGTCATGGCCTTCAAATGTGATGCTGTCTTTTTGTGTCAGTTTATCAGGATTTCAAGGCAGCAGAGAAGATTTTGGCACCCCTTGTTCAATAACAATGGTTTCACACTTCACCTTGAGCTAATTCAGTCAAGGCCTATTGAAAACGAGTGGGTTTTTGTTAAGAGAAGGTGAAAGTGCTTTAGAGAGTTGTGAAGTGGTGTTTGAAGACCTGGAACTATTTCTAGAGCTCTCCCATGCTGACAAATAGCTCCACTTATTTTCATATGCAAGCAGATTTGGTGAAACACTAAAGACTGCCATTCATAATTTCAAAAAGAGATGTGGGGTTCAACTGTCTCGGAAACACTCAATTACATCAGAAAAAGTCGGCAGAGCTCTTTCAGGAAATTAAGTCATTCTTTTCAAATTTGTTCTTTATTTCAAAATGGAATTTGGTGATGGTTGTGAATACAAGACTAGGGAAACAAACGTGACCATGAGAGTGGAATAAGTCAAGTGTGAGCTTCTAATAATCCTGTGTCACAGTGGGCCCCACAAGAACCTTGATTTCCCGCGGATTTGGAACACGACATCCTGCATGTGACAGGCTGTATAGCCACTGAGATGCGATCAATGCGATATTACGGAGGGACTTCCTCTTCCAACTGAATACTCAGATTCGTCCCACCATTACGAGACGTTGTGGGCCACAATATGTCCAAATCCCTTTCAACTCAAGACCAAAGTCTGAATAAAAGCGATGAGAATTCCCATCGACCATTCGCAAGCAAAGACAACGTTAATTCCTAAGCTATTGAAGCATGAGCAAAGTGTCGCCTTCAGCCCACCAGTGACAGGAAATTAAAGACTCTCTGGTCAACTTCTTCTATAGCAGTGCATGTGTGAATGAACAACCTCAGTAGCCACCAAGTATATAATCATTCATTAGGAATCAAACTGGCATACCCAACTTGAACGCACCTCTTAAGACACACTAACAAGTCTTTCAGTGGCTGGAGGTACAGGGAGGTCACTCCAATACTGATGAGGAAAGCAAACAGGCCTTTGTGGAGCTGCACAATCCCAACAAATAACCATTATTTGACTATTAATTAACTGTGTCGGACTGCACTCAACTGGAGTGTAGTGCAACAATTAGAAGATACAGGATGCTACATTCTAGCATCCTCATGAGGATGTCTGTATCAGGGAAATGGGTATCTTTACATCCATATGAAAGTTAGCTATAAGCATGTTCAGTCAAATGATTTTACATCTCATAATACAGTCGCTATAGTTTATGCTACAATTACAGGTTTATGTGTTGATGGCTGTTATCTGCAAAGAGTGGTATATGCTCTATGAAACTCAAACTAGCTTTCATATTATAATACAGATTCATTTATATATTTAAAAATTTGAAATCAAAATAGACACGTTAAACATTAACTGCATATTTTTTCAAGTATACTTTCAATAATACAGTATGCTGTAGTCAAGTTCCTTATAGACCACTTTCTAATAACCTATCTTTTCTTTTTCTAAAATACTGGTATATTTCTCAATTTTGATATGTTTACTGAGACATTTCATACTCTTTACAATACTTCATTGATCAATGTTACTAATTTTGCATTCTTATCTACTGTTTTCTAAGTTTTAATGAATACATAAGCAGCTGAATACCATACCAGAATTTACATCCATACTTTTTGGCATTTTCGAACATACATTTTATAAACCAAAATACATGTATTGTCAACACATCATGCATACAAAGAATAAACTTGTGAACACCCTTTGCACACACAGTATAAAACTTTCAACACATTTTGAACACTGGAATATGAACACAATATAAACACTGGATTATATGTTTAAAACCTCCACAAACACACATAATATGTGTCAACTCCATAGTAACTATGATTTGATGACCAAGACATTTGTTCTTCATATAACTGAGTTGGAAATGGCATGGTCCCAATTGACAGTGTTTCACTGAAAGCCTTAGTCTGTCTCACAGTCCCTGAACCACATTATTTTCCCTACTGCCAAGCCCTCTCTGCAGTGCTGAAGTCCTAAATAAAGCAAGTCTAGATTTCCTCAGGTTCTGAATCTCTGGTCCTTCTAGGGCTCTTTTTCAATTTAAATGGGCTTGTTTGTTACTATCAAAATTATATATATTCAGAGACTAAGCATTAGTCCATGAAACCCTCTGTAAGCAGAGAAGTGCATAATTCATTCATAGCAGCCACTGTCACCCCAATCCATAACTGAATCAGCTGTTATGACGAGGATGGGTGTAGTGAACAAACCTGACCCAGGATACCCACAAGGTGATTGAATAAATGGAACTTGATCCAGCCACAATCACCCCGATTTTATGTCCCTCCAAACCATAAAGCACTTAATGAGATTATATGTACATTTATTTCACTCTAGTCCATAAACTCCAACTGTAAAACCAAACACTTTCCCTGTTAGAAATGGAATTCCTCTCTTCCATCTCTCTCTTCCACATAACCAAACCTAAATTGAACGCAGTGATTTTGATAAATGAATTGTTTGATATTGGTCTGAGATTTTATGTCTGAGCTGCAAGGCCTCCATGCCAATACTCCTAATTTAGATGGAGTTGAGATATCCGTTTCACTGCAGCACAATGTTTTTATTGTCCAATGCGCCTGAAACTCAAGATTTTCATTGACAGAGTTAATAGATACTATATTAGCAAATTGTATTGGCGGGGCAATTTTTGCTGTCCATGCTGCATGATACTGGAAAGGAGCATATCACATTTCACAGGAGTTTATTACTGATGAACTGGAGAAGTCAGGAAGAGCTTGTCTGCATTCAGCCAGTTAATAATTCTCGAAGGCTCCGGTACGTGTGGCTCAGATGCATGGACAACTTTCAGGACTGACTTCATTTCACTGTATTGTTTTAGCCTGGATCTATTTTGCTGCGGGCTAAACCCAATGCAGCAAAACAAAATGATTAATATCGTTCTTTGGATAATATCCTGACTGTGGGCTTATGTTCCAGCAGCGTTGTCATCAGCAAGGCAGCTTGTATTTTGCCATTTCCTGGCTCAACATAGAATTAAAAGACATGTCAAATCTGCCAGTGGTGAGAAGTTGTTTTATGGTAAAATTTTGCCCTGGAGTGTTCAGCACTGAGTGAGGATGGTCTCTCATTTCAGGTACTGCTTGGCATCACGCATCCTGTTGTCAAGGCGTAAAAGAGAGGTTCACGCTTTCTCCGCCCTAGGTTAAGGAAATCTTGCCCCTGCGATTTGACGACCTTGTAATTTCTCGCTTCACAATGAGGTTTTTTCCTTTTTGTTTTTCACGCTTAATTTCCAGCAATGTTTGCATTGTCATGCCCCTGTGGATTTTGATTGGCACCTTCGTAAACTAACCACACATTAGCAAACATTGCTCAATAGCTAACAATGAAAACTGAAAATGAGAGAAAAATTGTGAATGCACTTGGGTAATGACTGGATTTAAAACTTGAATGATGAGGACAGGTACTTGATTCTAATACTTCAAGTTTGCATTATATCAAATTTGTTATTTAGCCTGGTAATTTAAAATACATATATAAAACAAACAGCTATTTTCAATGAATATTAGTTTTGAGTTGAGACTCATCAAAGAAAATTTCTACAAGACATGTCTCATTAAAATCAGATTTTAGTTCGTGTTGCCACTCAACAAGGATGTGAATACATCCCAGGTCACATCGAGAATGACTTTTTGATCCCGCCAATCACAGCATCACGCAGATTCAGAAAATGACTTTTGGAATGTGTTGGGGTGTTTTCATGCAGCCTGGAATTTTTCAACTTTAGGAATACACAACATGTACTAAAATGTACTAAATATACTAAACAACAGCCATGGACAGTATGACTGACTGCATCAAAATCATCATCTATCTCTCAATTCAGTTTGATAAACATTTGAAAAGTAAGACCATGGTAAATATTACCATATAATCTTGGCCATGTATTTGACATTGTATGAAGTCATGTAATGATGACATATGATGATGTTCAATTTTCAAATTTTTAATTGATAACTTTGTCAATATATTTTCCAAAAGACAGTATGGTGAAGTCACTGGGTTTTTTTTAAACTAGTGCAGTAAAGCTTAAACATCTGCTTTCTGATTGACTAATGCCCACTTCTTGTAAGTCTTGACATTGACTGTCATTCCGG